CTACCCCTGAATTAAACAGTAGGGGAGAGAGGAGAGGAGGAGGAGAATCTTGTTCTTCCCTGTAGGCTCAAGCAAACACAAATTGCTGCAGCATCGCCTAGTTTGTAGTTTTTCCTCAATAACTTTTGGCATCTTGACCACTCTCTGATGTTATTTGGTTACATGTGTCTTAGTTTTCATTTGTGGAATGTAGCAGTGTATGTAGTTGTAGAAGAGACTGTGCAGCCACTTACACAACAAAACCTTTGTTATATGCCATCCTTTCACTACCTCCGCAAATACAAAACCATTGGTGCAATGATCCTTCTGCTAAGGCAGAATCGGATACATACAAGTGGCTGAATTTTGGAGCAATACATGGCTTAATCATAGGGTTTTCCCTTTTCTGTTAAGAAGATTCACATTCCCTTGGGGGAAAAGTGTTGGAGACCACATATTTGTGGCAGATGAAGCCAAAGCCAACAATGGGCTGAACAATCTTCCACCTCATGTGACCTTATTTCCCTGCTCTCTTCCCCCCCTTGCCAATCCCCCATGTATCAGAGAAGAACAAGCTAGCCAAAGAATGGAAGTGCAAGCTGATAAACAGCAAAAGCAAGTTGGGAAAGCATGCAGAGCTGAAGCTTACTGCAGTTCTAGAGCACTTTTGTAATACTAAATCAATGCTAATTTATGCTAATGTTAAATTAATGCCAATTAAAATCATGAGGGGCCAGTGGCATCTGCTGACCCACATTCCTACCTTCTCTCACAAGTATAATGGAAATCTATGCCACCATTATGCTTGGCATTTCCCTGCCACTCCTCTGGTTCATTGCCTGCTGCTGAGGAAATGTTGAGTGTGATGATATCATGGTACACTTGTTTTTGGAAATAACATGTTACTAGGGGCCTATATAGAAATGCAAGCTGATAATTCCACATGTCTGTCATGAGATATATGAAATCCAAGCCACATAATTCTATAAGTCCATCACAATGCCAAGAACACTGGCAATGTTCCCAGTCTGTATCTGATCGTAAACAAATGGGCAGTTAGTGCATATTAGGGTTGCCAGATTTCAGGGTATTCATGGAAATCTTAGTGAATGACTGTATTTCTCAAGTCTCCAGGTAAGGAAGCAAATCTCAGGGTAAGTAGAAAGTTTGATTTTCATCTGTGAGTTGGCTTTAAAACCTAATTGCTCATCTCCATCTAACCTAGCTGGTATCAGAGTTCACAGGCTCAGCACGTGTCTTGTACTTCAGTGCACCATCAGAGTATCACAAAACCAGCAGGGAAGGAAGGGGGAGTGAGAAAAGAGAGAGATAGTGGCTACAGGCACTTGGTCCCATTGTGCCATTTGAAGCAAGGTAAGTAGTGGAACACCAGTACCGTAATTCATGTGCTTTCTTGTACAGGTTGTGGAAAGAGCAGCACAAGGCCTGGGTGGGGAAAAACCCCTTGAGGGCTAACACAGACTCTTCCACAAGACCCCAACAGCAGCTTAGAACCTGGGAAAACTTCCCATGTATCATGTGTGCTGTAGGTAAGCCCAGTGGGCTGGGAATCCTAGTGGTAATTGCAGTGGCTACTTGGTGCATTTTGCTGCCTACCCAGCCATTGAAAAATGCACATCTGCACCACCACCCAGTTCTGTGTTTATCATATTTTTTAAAAAAAACTGAGACCACAGGCTCTGTTGGAGGGGCATGGGAGAGCTAGGGCCGGGCTGAGGCTCCACAGTTGCAGGCTCAGGTCCCAGAGGAGGTTCGGGCTCATCCTCCTCATCCTCCAAGCCCTCCTCCCAGCAGGGCATGACAAAGAGCAGTTATATGTATTATAATGGAAATACCAACAGCTTGGAAAAGCTGCCTTTTTGGACTGCAGCTCCCAGAATCCCATATGCTATGACATTTCACAAAGATAAAAACTGAAACACATGTGGCCAAGCAAAATCAGAATGTGATCAAGATGTTCCTTTAAAGAATGTAAACAAAAGCCACAAAGAATGACCTCAGGTCACCCTTTGAGTTAGTATATTAGAGATAAATGACAACGAGTAGTACAGTGTATTCCAAAAGTGGGTGTGCTCTAGACCAGGGGTTGGCAACTTTTTTTTGCTGGGGTCCAGGAGGGGGGGGAAATGGCGCTGGGGGCCAACGCGTGCTCACGCGCGCACTTGCCCTGTGTACGCACACGCGCACAATGCCCACCATCATGTGCATGCTTGTGCGCGTGGGGGGCACCATTTTGGAAGGCCCAATGGTGCCGGCGCCATGCGAATTTGCACGGCGCCGGCGCTGTTGGGCCATCTGAAATGGCACTCTGCCAGCACCGTTGGGCCTTCCAAAATGGCAGCCCACATGTGTGCGATGCAGAGCGCCATTTCAAAAGGCCCAACGGCGCTGGCGTCATGTGCATTCACATGGTGCCATCACCATTGGACCTTCTGAAATGGTGCCCCGCATCGTGTGCATGCACATGCTACGCATGGCGCCATTTTGGAATGCCCAATGGTGATGGCACTGTGCGAATGCACACAACGCTGGCACCATTGGGAATTCCAAAATGGCGCCCATGTTCGGGCGCATCACGGCGGCGGCAGCAGGACCAGCCATGGGCCAGTCCCAAGGCCTCAGCAGGCCGACTCGGCCTGCGGGCCGTAGGTTGCCGACCCCTGCTCTAAACTCTAGTAATTGAACAAAAAGATAGGATCTAAGCCTGTTGTTGGATAAGAAATGCCCTGCATTATTGTTAGGAGAGAATAAAAGAGCCAAGTCAGAGCCATGTAATTAGATTGCTATTCAGCATGCCTCAAAAATGGAAGCAGAAAGCAAAATATGTCAGGTATGCTTGTTTGTGATAAATTTAAAGTCTTGACATGTTGTCTTAAATGCTGATACTGGTAAAGACAGGCTAAAGATAGAAATTTGCCTACATAGTATTAATATAGTAAGAATTGTTCAAGATTTGCTTAAAGAGATTTACAGTTTCTGTAACAGATGAGATGGAATACTGTCACAGATAATTGTTTGGGCATTAAGATGAAAATCCAGGTAAACATGATGACTATATGATTTAATTTAAGATGCCTTACATGCAATGTTATGGAATATAACCTAAGCTGGCATGCCAAGACTTTCCTATGTCTGTGATTGTCTCTGAAGGGAATGTATGTGCATGTACATATAAATGGATACTTATAATAAGTAGAGTACCAAAAAAATCTGTTCCTTCCCATATAAATGTCCTGGAACTCCAAGACTTGAAATTGTTTAAGAGACTGTTGGTGTTAATCTGATCTTTACGGTTTAAACATTATCATAAGTCAATAAAGGTAAACAAAAAGTCGATAAAAGTAAACCCAGAAAGAGCCCAGAAGTAGCTAACAAATGGCAAGGTCCTTCAATTCCTTAGGCTAAGAGACATGGGTAGGGAACCACACCTGTTTCATTATGAAGCCTTGGGCAGGGTAGTAAAGAGTCTGTTTGCAAGTGTCTTGATGACAATGCAGTGATTAGTAGAAGCCAGTGGAGGTTTGTAAAGAACAAATCCTGCCAAACTAACCTTACAGCTTTTTAAAATTGACTCACTAATTAAATATATGGTGGGAATGCTGTGGATGTCATTTATCAGGATTTCAGCAAAGCATCTGATAAGATATCCTATGATACTTTGATTAATAAATTGACTAAATATGGAACAGATGGAAACATAATCCAATGGATCCACAATTATTTGGGAAACCATGCTTAAAGAGTTGCTGTCAATGGCTGTGGTTAAAGTTGGACTGAGATCTCAAGTGCCATGCTATGCTTCAATATTTTCATCAATGATTTAAATGATGAGGTGGAAGGAATCCTTATCAAATTTGTAGGTGATACAAAACTGGGATGGGTAGGTGAACTCATTGGAAGATAGGAACAGAATTCATAAGGACCTTGGTTAAGTAGAAAACTGGGCTGAAATTAATAAAATGAAATGTAACAGAGACAAATGCAAAATTCTACATTTAGACCACAAAAACATACTAAGACAAGTATCCCAAGTACAAGCAGAGATACTTGTTCTAGTATAGGGAATACTTGGCTCAGCCATGCTACATATGAAAAGGACCTTAGGATTATTGTTGATCATA